TAAAATACTGTTTTGCAGAGTTACTTAGTTCTTTTCTTTCCCACCACTTTACTGTGGTTATGCTATGGTATAGTTAGGCTTATTTACTGTTGTTTGTATTTTTTGGATGTCGTCACCCCCCCATCCCATTCTGGTTGGTTGATTTTTATACATATGTATAGATAGATAGATAGATAGATAGATACAGGTACAGATATGTGAAACATTACTGTGGTTATGAAAGTCAGAACAAAAAGGCACAGGGAAGTATCATTTCCTCCTCATCCCTTCTGCACTGTTTCCTTCCAACCTGTTTCCATTCCCAGGTTCCTTTCACCTACTTCCCATCCACACCTGAGGCCCCTATTCTCCTTAGTTTCTTGTTTTTCCTTCTGTTTCTTTTTGCACAAATCACCAGATACACATGTATTTTCTTATACTCCCTTTTTTTCTTACACAGAAGATAGCACACTACCTTTGCACACTGAAAATCATTTCATATCATAGAGATAAGTATGTGTATTTTAAATGTTATGCATCTAGTATGGCATTTATGGAGCACAGTGGTAATGTGAGCACCCATTAAACACACCACACCATTAAGAAGAGCACTGCCCATACGGCTGCATCTGTGTGCTCCTCCCCAACCCAGTTCCCACATGCTCACCCCTAGAGGTAACAGCTCTCTTGAATTTTGTGTTAATCATATTTTTGATTTTTGATAACACATATCATATTTGTGTTAATCATATTTTTTAAAATAATTTTATCATATATACATGTGTCTGTAAATAATGTGATAAATTTTGTTTTTGAGCTTTATGAAGATGGCATCATGGTGTCTGTAGTCTTCTGGGACTTGCATAACTCAATATTAATGTTCCTAAATTCATCCATATTTTGTGTGTAGCTGTGAGTCATTCATTTTTGCTACTGGGTAATGTTCCATTGTAAAAATGGCATGAGAGCTTATTTGTGTATTCTCAGTGGACATGTGAGTTGTCTCCAATATTTTGCTATTAAAATACTGCTGATAATAATTTTGTATGTATATCACCTACATATGAGAGTTTCCCTAGGGTATAAGTTTTAAAATTTAGGCATGAATATTGAATTTATCCAACACCTTTGACATCCACTGAGATGGAGAGTATGTTTTTCTTTGATTTATTAATGTGGAAAAGTACAATCTGTGCTAATATTGAACTTTACTTGCATTCATAGGATGATCCCTCTTAGTCATGATATGTCATATTAAGGAACTACCGGAGTCTAGTCCTCAATATTTAGGATTTTTGCATCAGTATTCATAAATGAGAGTAGTTTATGGTTTTTGTATCCATATTTTGCTGGCATCATAAAAAGGGCTGGGAAACTTATTTTGCTGTTCTCTGCTACAGTTTAAATAGTGTTAGAATGATTCATTTCTTAACGATTTGAAAGGCTTTTCCCATGATACATAAGGGCTCAGTGTTTTGTGAGAGTTCACTCTTTACTGGCTCTCTAAACAATTAGGTAAAAGTAATCATGGGTTATGGAGAAAAATCTATATAATAAAATTGGTAGAGTTGATTTATTAGATTCAGATAGATTATATGTTCTTCCATCACAGGATAAGTTTTCTTGTTTTAAATTTATTTTATTGGAGTATAGTTGATTTACAATGTTGTGTTAATTTCTACTGTACACAAAAGTAATTCATTTATATAGGTATATGCACATATATATACACACGTTCTTTTTTCATATTCTCTTCCATTATGGTTTATCACAGGATATTGAATATAGGTCCCTGTGCTATAAAGTAGGACCTTGTTGTTTATCCATTCTACATATAATAATTTGCATCTCCTAGTCCCAAACTCCCAGTCCATCCCTCCCCCACCACCCTCCCCCTTGGCAACCACAAATCTGTTTTCTATGTCTGTGTTTCTCTTTCACAGATAAATTCATTTGTGTCATATTTTAGATTCCACATATAAGTGATATAATATGGTATTTGTCTTTCTCTTTCTGACTTACGTCACTTAGTATGATAATCTCTAGGTCCATCCATGTTGGAATAAGTTTTCTTATTAAGCATCCATGGAATATTTTTTAAATGGACACTGCAGCCACAAAAGAAAACCTTAAAAAAATCTGTAAAGCAGAAGTAAATAGATCAGGTTACTTAAACACCATGCAATAAGGCCAGAGAATAAATTAACAACAACAAATTATCCTGAACAGTTCTTTGTCCAGAGACAAAACACAGTTGCTGACGAGTTATAAAATAGTAATTAAAACATGAAATATGAAAAGCCTCTGGAATGTAGGGAATAATGTATTCAGAGGAACATTTATAGGTTTAGATTACTACACAGCAAGAATGAAAATGAATGAACCATGTAGCCTCAAGGAAGGTAGAAAATAGTTTTTTGTAGTCTAGCTTCCCCCGAAAGCAGAACATAGGACAGAGATTTGTGTGCAGGCAGTTTATTTGGGAATGTAGTCCCAGGGGCAGAGTGAAAGACAAGAAGAGTGCAATGGAGAAGGAGGGACAGCCAATACAAGGATGTGCTGTCAGGCTGGCCCCTCCACAGGCGACTGGTGCTCTGACTTGCAGGATCTTTGAGGAGCCTTGGAATCTCATGGCTGCCCATATGGGGGCCTAAAGGGGGAAACGTTTGTCCACTGACCTCTGTCTCCTGTTGGTCAGTGGTAGCATCACAGGCATTAACTCCCCTATCCTTCAGGACCTAGCAGGTGTTCGCAGATGTCCCACACAGGACAGAGAAGCCCTAGGGCAGGAGCCAGGCATGTGTGGTGTAGACCCTTGAGGAGGCATTTGTAGGTTGTACCTGTGCAAAGCTGGTCAAAGCCTCTGGAACTGGACTGAGAGTGGACAAGAGGATTTGGTGAGGTACATAAGGTGGCTCTTACAGAGCTAAGAAACAAATTTAATAAAGCAGAGCTTAATTTAAAACAAGTAGAGGGGGCTTCCCTGGTGGCACAGTGGTTGGGAATCCGCCTGCCAATGCAGGGGACACGGGTTCGAGCCCTGGTCCGGGAAGATCCCACATGCCGCGGAGCAACTAAGCCCATGCGCCACAACTACTGAGCCTGCACTCTAGAGCCCAAGCTCCGCAGCAAGAGAAGCCACCACAATGAGAAGCCCACGTGCTGCAACGAAGAGTAGCCCCCACTCTCCACAGCCCGTGTGCAGCAACAAAGACCCAATGCAGCCAAAAAGAAAAGACACCAAGAAAAAAAGTAGAGGGACTTCCCTGGTGGTGCAGCGGTTAAGAATCCACCTGCCAATGCAGGGGACACGGGTTCGAGCCCTGGTCTGGGATGATCCCACATGCTGCAGAGCAACTAAGCCTGTGCACCACAACTACTGAGCCTGTGCTGTAGAGCCTGCGAGCCACAACTACTGAGCCTGTGTGCCACAACTACTGAAACCTGTGTGCCTAGGGCCCGTGCTCCACAACAAGAGAAGCCACCACAAGGAGAAGCCCACACACCGCAATGAAGAGTAGCCCCTGCTTACCGCAACTAGAGAAAGCTTGAGCGCAACAACGAAGACCCATCGCAGCCAAAAATAAATAAATAATTTAATTAATTTTAAAAAAACAAACAAACAGGTAGAAAAGGGAGTGGTGTTCTAAATAGAAAAGCTAGTTTTTTGAAAATAAAACAACATTAAACTAGATAAACCATGGTTCAGCCTAATGTTATTAGTCTGCTTGGGCTGCCATAACAAAATATCATACACTGTCTGGCTTAAACAACAGAAATTTATTTTTCACAGTTCTGGAGGCTGGAAGTCCAAGATCAAGGTACCAGACGATTTGGTTCTTGGTGAGGCTGCAGGTGGCTGCCTTCACTGTGTCCTCACAGCAGAGACAGCTCTGGAAGACTCTTCCTCTTCTTATTAGGGTACCCGCCCTATCAGATTATTACCTTGTTTAACCTTATTACCTCCTCATGGGTCCTGTCTCCAAATACAGTCACATTGGAAATTAGGGATCCAACATACGAATTTTGGGGGGACACATTCAGTCCATAACATTAACTAAGGCTAAAAGGTCTAGAGAGCATATATATTCAAAGAAGAAGTAGGAAAAGCAAGGAATACCTCAAGGTATGGAGGAAATGAAAAAAGTCATGAGCCACTGTTTCCCATAATTCTACACTCAAGTTTAAATTCTGGAAGATATAGACAATATTTTAGGAAAATATAAAATTTCAAGACTGACTTTGGGAGCACTAAAAATCAGAAAATAACCAGTCCATGTGGTCTTGAATACAATGAACAAGGAGTGCTGGGTCATGGGACCAGGGGTGGGATGCTATAGTGACCCCCTCTCTCAGGCAGCTGAGGCCTTGGCTTCTTTGCCATCAGAAGGCTGGAAGGTGTGAGGAGCCATCCCGGTAACTCACTTGTGACCTAGCTTCCTCACGGTAAGCCTGGGCTGGGCAGGAGCCTAACCTCCCAAGATCTCTACAGAGGTATCAGGACTCTTGAGGGCAGTCAGCTGTGTGAGGGAACGGGCATATGGGAGGGAGCAGCTGTCCCTTTCTCCAGGAGGTGCCTCCCTGGGGCCTGACTGAGGCCTATGTGCTGGGGCTGCAGCCCGTCCAGCCTGGCTTCTCTTGCAGTATAATAGAGAGGGATGCTCGTTCTAGAGCATTGTGTTGCTACACGAGTCTTTGTTTTATTATTCTTTAGATTCTACCTGCATTTTATGCACACTCGTGTGTGTGTATGATATGTGTCCAGAATTGTAAAAATCCTAGGGTCCGTGGCAGTGAGTGTCAGTGTCATGGCCAGGAGGAGCCCTGGGCGCAGAGCCAGTGAACAGATCGCTCCTTTCTTCCCATGGCAGCTCCTGCTCGCGCTTCTGTCTGGATACTGGCTGCCTGCATCTCAGATCTTCTGTGAGGGGCTGTATTGTTCGTGGTGCGGGTGGCTTGTCTCACACCTGTCCCCCTGTTTTCCCTCAGCTCCAGTCCTTCTCTGAGAGGGAGACCAGATGATGGCAGCCATGCTCCTGACAGCCTGGCCCCAGGTGAGCTGTGGGTCCTTCAGCTCTTCCTCTGAGCAGTTTCACATTGAGGAAAACTGAGAAGGGAATCTGGTGAGCCTTGCTGTGCAAGCTGGAGGGGCCCTCCATGCTTCTGCCTGCCAGACGGGAGCTTGTGGGAAGAGCGATGATATGGAGGGATAGGGGCCAGAGACCAGGACAGGCAAGACAGAAGTGTCTGGAAGGCAGAAATATAGTCTTCTGCACACCAGTTTGCTTTGCTCCCCCAGCAGAGGGCTTTGGTGAATGAGAGACATGGAAGCTGCCCATGAATGGAAGAAGATAGCAGGGGACTAGGATTCCAGGGAGGGGGGTGTAGATAAACAGGAATAGCAGGACCAGATCCACATAAAGAATGGCTGCACCTCTAATTCCAGGGGAAGGGGACATAAGGAGAGTGGGATCAAGGGAGGGAAAAAAGACAGGAAGTCTTGTGTCTCATTGTGTCCTGGAGAGGCTTTCGGGGCTTGGGGTGCAGTGGCCAAGCTTTAGGTCTCTGATAAGAGCTCTGGATCCTCTCCCCAGAATAACATGCAAACGAAAATTTCCATATAATTTCAGGGATTTCATGGACCCCCTGATGCTCATCCATGGACCTCCATGGGCTACAGTTTGGGAATAATCATAGTCACAGTAACTCCAGTTACATCATTTGAGGCTTACTATGCTGCAGGCACCATACTAAGCACTTTACATGGATCACTCAGTCCTGACAGCCGCCCTGGGAGATAGGCACTGTGTTGCGTTCATTCTACCACAAAAGAAACAAAGGCAAAGGGGAGTGAAGTGACTTGTCATCGTGTGACTTAACTGTTCAGCCCTATGACACGTGTGGAGCCAGTGAAGTTAACGTGGTCAGGTTTCTGATGCCTGTGTGGGGAATAATTTTGAGGGGAGGTTTAAAAGCAAGGTGACCACTTCAGAAAGAGTCCTATTGGTCTAGGTGACATAGGCTTCATTAAGGCAAGTAGTTGCTAAAGAGGGAGACCCAATTCAAGTAATGCTTAACATAAAAATCTCTAGGAGGAAGAGTCAAAAGATTGGGGTGGGGTAAGGGGGAGGGAGGAGTCAGGAACGAATCCCCAGGTTTCTTTCCTGCGCGGATGGTGGTGGGTGACACCAGCTGAGGTTTGAATTAAGGAGGAGGCACCAGTCGTGGGCTAAAAGGGGATGGTGGGCGACAGCGAAGGCATTTAATTTTGTACCGAGAATTTCTTGTCTTATCCAAGTCACACTATGAATGACTCACAGAAGTGCCCACAAGTTGGACTAGAATTGTTGATGGGTGGAGGCCCGTAGAATCAAGTAAGACAGGTCCTGGCAGAGAGCAGTTGAGAGGCAAATCGCTGCCAGTGTGTCCCCAAGGTTGTTACAGAAGGCCGAGGTGGGTAGAGCGAGAGCAGCCAGAAGGGGCAGCTGCCCAGGAGGTGGGCCTGGGAGCGGCTCGGCCATCAGCCCTGATGGTGGAGCCTGTGCTGAGTGCCGAGTGATACAGAGGAGCAGCTAAAAAGATGGCTGACCTCCCTTCTTTCCCAAACCTCCTTGGAGAGACAGTGAAGTCTTGGGTGAAGTTGGACAGGATGAGGCTTGACTGGGAGAGGGTAACAGAAAATGGGTTTTCAGCGAGAGCCATTTGCAAGCAGGATGGGCTGCCTGCTCTCACCCCTCCCTCCACCTCGGCGGTGCCCAGCCGATCTGGGCAGCACTGAGCTTCCTCTGCTGAAGGCGCTGGAGCAGAGGCTATACAGCCTTTTGTAGGGGGTCCATGATAGAAATCAGGTGGGGCTGGGTGAGATGGAAGCCATGGCTGTTCTTTGGGTGCAGCTTGAGGTTTGAGGGCGAGGGCGAGGGCGAGGAAGTGGAAAGGCCGGGGGGTGGGTCCAAAGCTGCTTCCGCCAGTGAGGGCATGGCCTGACTGAAAGAAAGCAGTTGCGTTAGGGAAACTTGGTCATGGGAGGTGTTTTTCTTTCATCTCAACTTATGTCATCCTTTGTAAGTGTGAAATATGGCATGAGGTTTCTCTGCTGTGAGCCAGGTCAGATATTCCATGCTTTACCTTCCAAGTGTTTTTCTCAAATCTTTCCGCCTGTTATTAATTTTGTGCTCTTCACAAGCCCCTCCTCAAGCCCTCATACTGCCCTCTGCCCCTCACCTAGGGCATGAGCCATGGAATTGGCCCCTAGGGCAGCAGGAACCTGTTGTTTCAGAAGTCGGTGACCTTTGAGGACGTGGCTGTGTACTTCACCCAGGCGGAGTGGGATGGCCTGTCCCCTGCACAGAGGGCTCTGTACAGGGATGTGATGCTGGAGAATTATGGGAATGTGGCCTCCCTGGGTAAGGCCTTTCTCCCCCGGGGACTCAGACTCTGCTGATTAGGGTTTCCTGGCTTCCTTTCCCCTTACTGGTTGCAGGTGGGGCCTCTGGTAATCCTTTACTGAGTGGGAACCTCAGGGGCTGATTCCTAATCCCCTAGACCCGGGGTTGCTGGGAAGGGTGAACCCCAAGCCCTTTTTGGGCCAATATAGGACTTTACTGGGACTGTTGTGCACTCTTGATCCACCCGATAGAGGCTGTGTTTTGGACACAGCATGGAAAAAAAGTAACTTCCTGTTCTACAGCATTACCTTCAGGTTCCCCCTCACCCTACCTGGATATCTTGAGTGTTTCCAAGGATCTCGGTGTACTTGTAATATTTTAGGCCCTGGTCAAAAAACGGTACCTATCCCTTTAGGCAGAATCTCCCTGTTTGCCCTGCATGAGGTCTCACAGTCTGGGCCCTCCCCAACACCTCCTGCATCTTCTCAAGCCTCTTCCTCCCACCCCCCTGCCACTTTCCCATAGTTCTTAGGCATGGGACCCTCTGGGGCTCTTTCCTTCCCTCCCCATTGCTGACACAATCTGAGAAGAGGTTTAGGAAATCAGCTGTGGGAGATTATTCACCTATCTTTCCTATTTCCTTTCCCCAAAACAGGATTTCCCCTTCTCAAACCTACTGTGATCTCACAGCTGGAGGGAGGAGGTGAGCTGGAGGGCCCATCTCCACTGGCCTCTGGAACAGGCACAGGCCCCCAGGGCCTCTGGACTGGTAAGGAGGCACACATTGCCCATTATGCTGGAAAGTGTAATCCTTTAGGAAGAAAGTCAGCTTTAGCAAGATATAAGCGTGCCACATTTATTGGCTAACCGTACAGAGTAACATTTAAATTTTTTAAAATTAATTAATTAATTAATTAAATTTTGGCTGCGTTGGGCCCTTGTTGCTGCATGCAGGCTTTCTTTTTTTTAGTCGCAGAGAGTGGAGGCCACTCTTGGCTGTGGTGCGCAGGCCTCTCACTAAGGTGGCTTCTCTTGTTGCGGAGCACAGGCCCTAGGCACACGGGCTTCAGTAATTTTGGCACACGGGCTCAGTAGTTGTGGCTTGCAGGCTCCAGAGTTCAGGCTCTGTAGCTGTGGCACACGGACCTAGTTGCTCCTCAGCATGTGGGATCCTCCTGGACCAGGGCTCGAACCTGTATCCCCTACATTGGCAGGTGGATTCTTAACCACTGTGCCACCAGGGAAGCCCCATTTAAATAATTTTTGATGATTTCTAGAGATAGGAACAGTTGAGATCTTTCTATTTTCATAGTTTGATACTTTTTTCTAATTCCAGGAAGAGATCTTTTTTCAAATGCTTTATTGTAATTATTTTCAATCCTAATTTTGGAATTCTACCTTTCTCAGACAAAATGAATGGATTCAGTACTTTTTTTGGGTCCTTGCTACTTTCTAAGCACTGTCCACTTAATGTGAAGGGTACAGAATTAAAAGTCTTTTTACTTAGACTTGGGAGTAGACTTTCCGAGTTCGAATCCCAACTGTGCTACTTCCTAGTTGTGTGACTTTGAGCAGGTCAGTTATCTGCATTCTCTAAGAGTTAGTGTTCTCACCCTTGAAAATGGAATAATAATTACAAAATGAGGTAATGGTGCTAGGTTTGATGATAAAATGAGATAACATGTACCAAGTGCCTAGCTTATAGTGTGTGCTCAGTTAAATTCTGTTTTTATTATTATTATTACTATTATTATTATTATTTGAGGGGGAGAAAGCTATATATAATAAGCTGTAGGAAATAAGGTGGGAGGAAGTAATGCTATCAATTTGGTGCTTCTCAAAATATGAACAAATGCATCACCTGGGCGTCTTGCAGATGTGCAGATTGTCATTCAGTTAGTTTGGGGCAGGGTCAAGATTCTGCATTTCTGTTAAGTTCCCAGGTAATGCCAGTGCTTCTGGTTTGCAGACCACTCTTGAAATAGTGAGGTTCCCATTGGCTCACGCAGAGTAGCTGCCAGGTGATTTCCCATCTCCCATGAGGCCCAGCTTTACTTCCTGCCTTTGGGGTCCATAAGATACTCTTGCATCCTTTTGATGAATCGTCTTTTTTTAAAAGATGGTTTCAGTGGCTTTTTGTTCCTTGTAATCATTCAACCAGATGTTCACTGACCAAGGAAGACATGTTTTGGAAATGGAGAGCTTAAAGTGCTTGACATATAGAGGGGGATGAAAGTGATATTGTGGAGATTCTTAGTCAAAGAAGTCTGGATTTCATTCTATAGGCAACAGACAGTCCTGAAGTCTTTGAACAGCCCATCATGATGTCAGGTGAGGATAGAAACATTCATCTAGTCAGTGTATGTAGGTTAATTGGGGTCAGGAATCAAATGGGTTCTAGGCAGGCAGAAGGGGAAATCACAGGGCACAAGACCCATGTCAGCAGGGTTGATTTTTTAAAAAAATTTTCCAGGTAATTTGAATTTTTTTCTTTGTAAATTTCTGATACTACAGTGAATATTATTTCTATAATCAGGAAAAGACCAATATTATTTTGAAAATGGTTGCTAGTGAAGTCCAGGTCATTTGGGTCTGTTGAGGACAATTATAATGAAATACTGGGGTAGGGGGCATATTACATGTGGTTGAGGAGAGATGAGAGATGAAAAAATAAAGGAAGCATTTTGGGGCCAATTTTGAGAAATTGGAGAATAAATGTAGAGATAATTGGCTCTACTAGGACTGTGGGATTATAGAAAGGCTAATAAGATTACAGAAAGAATTTTAGGGAATGACCAATTTTAGGATTGAGGGAAGAGGTAGAAGGAAAGGCAAGGAGAATGCAGCAGTGTTCTGGAGGGGTGGGAAGAGATGGGATCAAAGGGATCAAATGGGCCTGAACAGAGCCTTTCTGAAGTAGAGAAAAAAGAAGTTAAAGAAGTTTTGGAAAGCCTAGAGTTTAACTTCTAAGAAAATAAACAAGATTTGTTCCCATTTGCTTCCTAGTGCTAATACCTGTCATCCCTTATTGCCACATGTTGTTGGATTCTGTGCCTTCTCCTTCTTAAGCAGTTTCCATTTTTATTAATAGAAACTGAAGAGTGTAGTAAAGTATGGTGTGATGTAAAGAATGCTGATCTGGCAGATAAGACCTAGAATTTTGTTCCACTGCTGTCACTTTTAACCTTCTTGTTACTGGTTATTGGTTTAGAGACTGGTGATCTTTTAAAATCATTACTTTAAAATTTGTAATATTGGTACATGCTCAAAACAGTATAAAAAGTGCATAAAGTGGGAGCAGTGGGGAAGTCTCCCAAACTTCCTGTGCCAGTTTGCTCAGTCTCTTGTGTATTCTTGCAGTAGTTTTTTAGGCATATTCAAATATATGTGTTTATGTCAGCCCTTTTTACTCTCCTTTACACAAATGGAAGATACTCTACATACCATTTCTCAACTTGTTTTTCCGCTTAACAGTGTGTCTTTGACATCTTTTCATGTCAGTACATATAGATTTATTTCATTTTATAACAGCTGCATGTTATTCCACCTTATGGATGAACTTTAGATTCTTTGATCTAGTCTGGTGATTTTAAAGAGCCCCCTGCCCCTTGATTACCCTGATCCTTTTTTCTTTCTATCACAGTCCTTTTTCTTTTCTAACATGGTTCTTACATGATATTTTATGTTTTCTGTTTTTTATAGTAAATACTGATATCCAGACTGACAGTAATTTGACAGAAGAAATGTATGAAGAAAAACATAATACATCATTTGAACTTCAAGGGAACTCTTCCCAGGAAACAGACTTTTCAGAAACTTATATTCTAGAGAAACAGCAGGAAGTCCACTCAGTAGGAAGTATGGAGAAAGAAAACAGGAGTGTCATTGATGGGACAGTGAAAGACAACATAAGCCTCGTGGAGGAGTGTTTCTTTAGGCAAAGTCCAAACTTGAATCAGTGTCATACCATCTCCACTGGAGAGCAGTCCCCTGAGTGTACAGGATTGGAGAAAGCCTTCAGCTTTGACACAAAACTTATTCAACATGAAATAATTAATTCCGGGGAAAGACCTTTCAAATGTGAAGAATTAGTGGAAAGCTTTAGGTGTAACTCTCAACTTAATCAGGATCAAGATAGCTACACTGGGGAGAAGCCCCATCAGTGTAAGGAGTGTGGCAAAGCCTTTAGCGTTAATGCAAAATTAATTTGGCATCAAAGACTTCACAGTGGGGAGAAGCCCTTCAAATGTGTAGAGTGTGGAAAAAGCTTCAGTTACAGTTCCCATTATATCACACATCAGACTATCCACAGTGGGGAGAAGCCCTATCAGTGTAAGGTGTGCGGGAAAGCCTTCAGCGTTAATGGGAGTCTGAGTAGGCATCAGAGAATCCATACAGGAGAGAGGCCCTATCAGTGCAAGGAGTGTGGGAATGGCTTTAGCTGCAGTTCTGCATATATCACACATCAGAGAGTCCACACTGGAGAGAAACCTTACGAGTGTAATGACTGTGGGAAAGCTTTCAATGTTAATGCAAAATTAATTCAACATCAGAGGATCCACACTGGAGAGAAACCTTATGAATGTAATGAGTGTGGGAAAGGCTTCAGGTGCAGCTCCCAGCTTAGGCAGCATCAGAGCATCCACACTGGAGAGAGACCCTATCAGTGTAAGGAGTGTGGAAAAGCCTTTAGTAATAATGCAAAACTCATTCAGCATCAAAGAATTCACACAGGGGAGAGACCCTATGAGTGTACTGAATGTGGAAAAGCCTTTGGCGTCAAAGGGAAGTTAATCCAGCACCAGAGAATCCACACGGGTGAGAAACCCTATGAGTGTAAAGAATGTGGGAAAGCCTTCAGGTGTAACTCCCAGCTTCGGCAGCATCTGAGAATCCACACCGGGGAGAAGCCCTATGAGTGTAATGAGTGTGGAAAGGCCTTCAACGTTAATGCAAAACTAATGCAGCACCAGAGGATTCACACTGGGGAGAAGCCCTTTGAATGTAATGAGTGTGGGAAATGCTTTACTTCTAAAAGAAACCTACTTGATCATCACCGAATCCACACTGGAGAAAAGCCTTACCAGTGTAAGGAATGTGGGAAAGCCTTCAGCATCAATGCCAAACTAACTAGGCATCAGAGAATACACACTGGGGAGAAACCATTCAAATGTATGGAATGTGAGAAAGCATTTAGCTGTAGTTCTGACTATATTGTACATCAGAGAATCCATACTGGAGAGAAACCCTTTCAATGTAAGGAGTGTGGAAAAGCCTTCCATGTTAATGCTCATTTAATTCGGCATCAGAGAAGCCACACTGGGGAGAAACCCTTCAGATGTGTGGAGTGTGGCAAAGGCTTCAGCTATAGTTCTGACTGTATTATACATCAGACTGTCCATACTTGGAAGAAACCATATGTCTGTAATTTGTGTGGGAAAGCCTTCAGGTTTAGCTTCCAACTTAGTCAGCATCAGAGTGTCCATAGTGAAGGAAAATACTAATAAGGATGTAGTAAACTGTCAAGGTTAATGCTGAACTACATCAAGCATCCTCAGATTCACGCTGGTGGAAAACCCTGAGAGAAATGGATATGGCAGAGTCTTCACAAGGAAACAAATCTTTTCCATTTTATTCAATTTTAGATCAAGAATGACAACCAGTTTTAAAATAACATCCAAAAATAAATAGTTTGTTTTATACCAACAACCAGTAGAAAATATAATGAAAGAAAATATCCCATTCCCAACAGCATCAAGAAAAGTTGATTTTCTAGATATAAACTTACTAGGACCTATGTGGAGAAATTATAAATCTCTGCTGAGGGGCACAAAAGGAAAGTTAAATAAATAGGGGGAGAGAGAGTGATACCTTGTTCTTAGATAGAAAAACTCATAAAGATACTACCTACCTAAATTAATTTATTGCCCTTTTACTTTTGACAACAAGCATGCATCACTTTTGTAAAGAGGGAAAACAATAAAGAGTTCCTTAAGGAAAAAATATGAGTAAATCTTTTTTATTTTCATGGTATGGAGAAAAGCTTTTTAAGCAGCAGATGAAAGCCAGAAACCAACCATGAGGGAAAATATTGATAAATTGACTTCAAAATGAAATATTTATGTTTTTGTTTTAAATAACCCCAAATAAGTTTAAAAGATAAAGCACAAAAAGTGGAATTACCTTTGTAAAATTTGTGATATAAAAGTATCATACAAAGAGGTCTTAAATTATGAGAAAAATAAATGACAATAACAAGCAGCTTTTAAGAAGATATAAAAATGACTAAAAAAGGAAGATGTTCAGTCTCAGTAGTACTCTAAGGAGTAAAAAATTAAAACAAGCATACAGTCACACGTAGGAAGCCCTTCAACCTCTCTCCCACTGACAAGACAAACACACAGGCCCTTTTATAGACACACGGCGTATCCCCACAGCGCCCCTTTCCCCATACCTGCTGCTGTGCTGTGGCTCGGGAGGCCTGTGTTGGCTGGGAATGCTGTCTTGCGTACCTCAAAGGAGCCACTCCTGTCAGAAAGCTACTGATATGGTATAGGACCTCAGCAGAGTGTCCAGGGCCATTGTGTAAGTGACATTCCCCCCACCCCACCTGCATATGGGTGGAGGCAGATCCTGGAGCCCCCAGAACACAGAGGACTGAGCAGAGTCCTTCCCCCTGACCATCTGGCCCTGCTCCTGTGAGCAGCTCCAGACCACACAAAGAGACCCAGAAATGCCCTGGGCCATGGGGTCCAAGTCCTTCATTTACTTATAGAGAAACTGAAGACCAAAGACAGATGGCACTGCCCCTGGTCACACAGCAAATCAGTGGCTGAGGTGGTCCATTACCTAGGCCAGAGGAGAGGTCAGAAGGCCATGGCTTACCCCAACCTTCCTAGATCATGAATCACCTCCAGATGGTCTCCAGATGTGACAGGGAAGATGGGGACTGGAAGTCCTGCCATCCTGGCTCCCAGTGGGGTTTGGCAGTTTGCTGCGGCAGGACCAAGGCAGGGACTCTAGGAGGGCTGAGAAGCACTGAGGACAGGACCAGATGTTCCAGATCTGCCACCAATGACCTGTGTGACCTTGGCCTCTGGGTCTCAGGCTCTTTCTCAGTGCAGGGTGGGGGCTAGTCCCAGGGCTCATCACCCTTCTCACCCAGTTGGTTCCTGAGGGTCTTCTCCCTCTCTGTAGCTGTTACTGTCCACAGCAGGTCCCTCTGTTCAGATCCCAAGGATACGAGGGTGAAGAAGGAAGATACCTGCAAAGTGTCATGAAGTCACGTGGTCCCATGGCCCAGGATTCCTGACACCCTGTAGTCTTGATGTTCACTACTCCAGCCAAGAGCTGCCTGGATTCAGTGGAGGCCTTATGAGGAAGGACAAAGAGGAGCCATGGCTCTGGATACCCTTTTCTCCTCACAAAGGCACCTCTTTTCTGAAAGGGAGCCATGAGCCTGGAAGGGTCAGGATTAAAGCAAGTTTCTCCCTCAGTCCAGGTCAGCATGTTCTGTCCCAGCAGCACAGGGCACCCTCCCACCCTGGCCTGTCACCCTGGAAGGGGCCTCAGAGAACATCTGGTCCTGCCCTGTCCAGGTCAGGGAGGGAAACAGGCTCAGTGGAAAACGCGGCTGCTGCGGGGCCCCAGCAGGACAGGGAAGCCTGGTGAGAGAGGTCCAAACACAGCTGGGAGGGTCCGTGGGTGGGTGGAGACAGGGCTTGGGTGTCAGGTGCAGGGACGAGAGACTCAGCACAGCTCTCCCTGGGCTGGCAGCCCTCTCCTGGTGATGGGGCTGGAAGTTCTGAGGAGAGGCGCTTGGCCGCTCTTCTGTCCTCTCTGCCTCTTAGGTCTCCATTCTCCCCAGACCACAGCCCCACCCTGTCTTCTATCCTTTCTCCTGACAAGGAACTGAGGACACCCCTTCCCTTACACAGTCCATTCAATTCAGTTGAACATTTGCACGCCCTTCTATGGGCCGGGGTTTGCCAAGTCCCAGGGAACCTGAGATGGGGGAACCTCAGCCACGTCTCCCCTCGGCGAGCTCCCTGCAGCCCCTTCCGCCTGCTCTCGAGCCCCATTCACACCACAGACCACGTGATCTCAGCAAATCCAACACCTCACGTGGCTCCTGAGGCTTCCGCCCGGTCTGAGCCCCCTTTGCGGGGCCCTGCGTTTTGCGCCTGCTCCTGGGCTGCCCGCGGCCTGACCGTCCCTCCGGCTCTGGCTTTCCCTCCCACCGCTCGCCAGCCTGTGAACGCGCAGGCCAGAGCCTGGGAGGTTCCAGTGCTCCTGAAACGTGGCCCCCACCTCCTCCCGGCCACTGAAATCCCACCCACGCTCAGCCCGAGCCAGCCTCCAGGAAGCCCTCCCGGCAGCGCAGCCGCACGCGCCTCTCCCGGCTGGTTTCCTCAGCCCACCACGGTAAGGGATCGTCCTGCCACAGGTTTGGCGCGTCTGCCAGCCGTGCGTTGCCCGGGCGCCCAGGGCCCACGTGCTCCAGGCGGGGACCCGAGGCTCTGGGTTCCACCCCACCCCCACCCCCGCCCTGGGCTACAGGCGCGCGGCACGGGCAGACGGGTGGCGGCCTCTACCTGCCGCCCCCCTCCCCGCCGGCCTTGGGCGCACGCCTTCTCGCCCTGGGACCCCGTTTTGGCCTCGAGGTGAGACGGAGCGGGGAGGCCGGGCCTGCGCGTCCAGGGCCCTGAGGCCGGCGCTGTGGGCGTGAGAAGCCATTACGAGGCACTGGCCGCCAGCCTGGGTCCCCTGCTGCCCCTGACGGCCGGTCCGCTCACTGCAGGGCGGGAAGAAAACGACCGCGAGGCTGCCCGGGACCCTCTCAGCGCGGGCCGGCTCTCCCTGCTCTGATCCCGCGGAGTCTCGCGCGCGGAGTCCTGGGGCATCCGGTTTGAGCTCTCCGCGGAAAATCTCCTGTGGATCCGCGGGGTGGCGGGGGTGGGTGGTGGTGCACACGGTCTTAGAGGCCCTGGAGGACTGCAGGGATCCCTGACTGCGCGGAGCCGGGCTGCGGCCGGGACCCCGTGCCCTGAAGGCCAGTCAGAAGAATGCACACAACGCATTGCAAACTTTTCTTAAAAGAAGCACAGCCTACTCCCCTCCCCCATCACCCATGAAATCTTGCTTAGAGGTCTGTATTGTAAATGCACATATGTACAGCTGCTGTAGGACTGCGAGGAGGGGGCAGTTGCCAGCGGGCCCCTGCGAGTGAAGGCCAGGGGCTTTGCTTAAACGTCCCTTGGGAGGTAAGAGGTCGATCCAGGATGGAAAGTGGAACGCAGGATTCAGAATGCAAGCGTTTGATAGCCAGGCCGCAGGCACGAGGTGGGTAGGAAGAACCGTACAAGATGGAGGAGGTGGGACCCGCCACCCTGCTTTCCTGGGAAGGGCTCCTGGGAAGGAGTGGTGAGTTGGAGGCTCCTCATGACAGGGAGGGAGGAAGGGAGAGGAAGCGCAGGGACCAGGGGAACAGTGAGGAGTGTCCCTTATACCCGGAGAACTCTCCCCCTCCCCCTTCATATTGAGCTCAGACAAACGCCACCTACCCTTCGCTGGCCTCCCTGGTCTCCTCAGTTGGCATGGGGTCCACTGCTCTGGGTCCTCCGCCAGCTTTCTGCTCTCACCTCCGTCTAGTCTTTACCACTCTCTGCCTTATCTACTTGGAGCTGCTGGTTTACCGGCTCGCCTTGTGGACCACAAGGTCATTGGGCGTAGCGCATTGGGCCCGGCCGGAACTTGCTTGGGAATAATTTCTGAGCGGATGATGTCAGTGACATCATTTGCCTGTGTTTATATGGTTTATACATTTTCATCCACAACAGGCGCCCAGGTCAGTTCTCCGGGGGCTCTAGTGAAGAAAGAGAAATTCTGGGGTGGGAGAGCAGTATCTTGAGCACAACCATCGAGTGCACTGGGCTGTGAGCACAAACGTCTTACGGTCAAGTTAGAATTGGGTTGCTCTCCTATTGCCCACCAGAGGGCGCTCAAGCCCCTGCCCATTTGACTATAGCTGGCCAGGGTCTCGGCAGGGATACCTGCATATGATGGGTTCTTCTGAGAAAGCAAAGGTAAGAAAACCACCAGCTAAACTGTCTGGGGTTTGGTGGATAAAGAGGAAGAAGGAAAAAATGCTACTGGGACTTGCAAGGCCTCTAACTCATTGACACAATGTCTGTTTTTGTTTGTTTTTTAATTGTGGTAAAATACACATAACGTAAAATTTACCATTTTAACTGTTTTAAAGTGTACAACCCAGTGGCAGTACGTACATTCACAATGTTGTGCACCCATCACCACTATCTAGGTTCAGAACTTTTTTATCACCCTAAGAGGAACCCCATGCCCATTAAGCAGTTACTCCCCATACCCACTGCCTTCCACCCCCTAGAAACAACTAATCTGCTTTCCTCTCTCTATGGATTTGCCTATTCTGGGTATGTCATGTAAATGGCCTCATACGATATGGAACAGTTGTGTCTAGCTTTTTCCATAGCGTAATGTTTTCAAGGTTCATCCATGTTGTAGCATATATCTGTCCTCCATTTGTTATTATTGGTGACTAACATTCCATTGTATAGATATACCACTTCTTGTTTATCCATCCATCTATTGATGGACACTTGGGTTGTTTGCACCTATTGGCTATTGTAAATAATGCTGCTGTGAAATTGGTGTACAAAAATCTGAGCCTCTATTTTCAGTTCTTTTAGGTATATACCTAGGAGTGGAATTGCTGGGTCATATTGTAATTCTATGTTTAACTTTTTGAGGAGCTGCCAAACTGTTTTCCACAGTGGCTGCACCATTTTACATTCCTGTCAGCCATGTGTGAGGGTTCCAATTTCTCCACATCCTTACCAACATTTATTATTTTTTGTAGTTTTGTTGTTGTTACATCCATCCTAGTGGGTGTGAAGTGGTACCTCGTTGTGGTTTTGGTTTATATTTTCCTAATGATTACTGATGTTGAGC